TGGGGGGGACGGCTGGGGAACAAAGCCGGTTGCGGTGCATCGCCGGGGGCCGGGGTTTAGTTTTTTCGTGGCAGAGAGGAAATGCTGCTGTCGCGGGGAAGGCAGGCAGCCCGGGCGCGGGAACGAAACGGGCCACTTACGGGAGAGAATGACTTATCGAGACTTTCCGTACTCGAGGAGAGCTCCTGGGAAACGGAGGAAAGGGGGTTTGTTGGTGGTTTTGGGTGGTGGTGTTTGTTTAAAAGGAGAGAGAGGAAGGAGGGAGAAGGGGAGAAAAAGCAATAGTTTAGCTCCAGGTTCATAACGATCACTTTTCATTTAATTTTTTTTTTCCCCCACCCATCACAATTTTGCTGCCTTTTACTCTTGGGTAGGAAGCAGCACCTCAACCGGCACGTGATGCTTCCAGAGTAACGCGACAACAATTTCACGGATCTAAACCGGAGCCTCCTCCGGCCGAGGCCGCTCGTGGTGGTACCAAACAGGGAGCAGGGCTCACGGCTCATCGGCAGACCCTATTGCTAAATGCCCATAAAACCCCCACAGATTTTTCTCCATTTACATCCTCTTAAATATTCTTCCACCCCAGAAGTGTAACTCAGGTTTCAGCTCTGAACTCCTTGGCTCAAATCAGCTGCAGAGACGGGAGCTGCGACGGCAGGCAGGGACGCTCACGGTCCCTGCCGCGGTTACCCCAACTCTGCCCCGCCACCAGCCTCTCCCCAGCAACAAAACCACTTTATTCTTCTCCCTCGGACTCTAATTTAGCCTCTCATTTCCGCAGATAAAATTAACCCCATGGAAACTTTCCTAAAGATTAAAAAATCTGACAATTAAACTATTTTCATGATCACGTTGACGAGACGGTATCAATCGGCGGAGGAGCGCACGCCATCGCCCAGGTTTCCCTGCAGCCACCGACAGCCACGCTCTGCATCCACCCTAATGGCCGTCTCCATCTCCAGCCCGCCCCTTCCACGATTTCTGCAGCACTGCACTTACAGCCCATAAATCCATTATTTTCGTGCAAAAAGAGATAATAATGGAGCTTCCCACCCTTGAGACTGGTGTGTAATAGGTTTTTAAAATCCACTTCCCAAAAAGAAATAAACAGGTTTGGATTTAGTATGTTAATTACAGGGATACGCTAATTCCACCAGGCTTAGTCTCACCATAAAAAATAACAGCGTTTAAATTAATCGCTTCTGCGTGACCACATAAAAACCCTAACAGTACCGAGACCCCGCAAGGCTCACCAAGGAAAAAATATCTGGAGCCCGGAGGCTGCTACAGGCTCACGTCGCTGCCTTCTTCCCAGGCACCAGTCTCATGCCTGGATCTTAAATCAAGGTATTTCAGGATCAGAGTTTCCCCTGGTTTTTGTAAATAAAAAAATCTCTAACCAGGGGATCAGCATCGGGAGCAGGCTGCAGGACGGCGCCGTCGGGAGGTAAGCTGAAAAGCTTTTAAAAACACCGTCTTGCTACGTTTGCTCGTAGGCAGAACACGAGTTGCCACCTCTAAAACATGTCTACCGGAGGTGCTCTGCCCAGTTCAACACCCGTTATAATAAGCACCATTTTAGAAGTTCCTCTTCTCGTAGCACCCATGCATCCTCTGCTGTAACGCAAATCCCACGGATGATTTGGGCTGCTCCTCTTCCAGCCTCTGCAGCCGCGGCCCCGGCCGCGCCGCGCCGAGGCAAGCCGGGGCCGGACCCCATCCCCGGTACATTTTTCAAGCGGAGCCTATTCCGCCAGTTTGCAATGATTGAGGGCAGAGTTTTCAAATTCCTCTCAGATTTAGGACCCAAGCCCCCAGTTTTCATTTGAAAGTCTTAAATGCCCCGACTTTTGAGGTCACACACAACCTCTCCTTCGCCTTGCACAGCCTCTGCTCCCCAACGGCTTCGCACGCGGCACCGGCGATGCCATTAGGACTTTGGTCCCGCTGGAAACCTTTAAAAAGTGATTTACCAACTTTATAAAAAAACGTCAGCTCTGAAAATCGCAACCATCAACTACAGGAGCTGCAGACAACCCCCCGCGCAGGCAGCGTGCAGCTCAGCAAAACCTGCCGTTAAACCAAAGCCCTTCGGTGAATTTAAGAGGTGTCAGTGCATTAACACGTCTAAATGAAGGGTCTACCTTCCAACAAGGAGGTAATTATCCCGCTCGCAAAGCATACCAAAAAGTACCTGTGACGCTGGAGCAAAAGAGCCGCGCTTGGGGCAGCGCCTGCAAGAGCCTCCCGGCGGAGACGGGACCGCCGGCGTGAACCATCATGGAGCAAGAAAGCCGGGGCTCCCGCTGCCGAATCTGAACTCTCCAGGCAAACCCACAGCTCGACCTGTTAAAGCTTTGATTTTTCTGAAGACAACCTACAGCGCTGGCAGTTTCTAAGCTGAACCAGGCAGCTTCCAGCTTGCATGAGCCCAAAACCCACCAGAGGTGCCCCCGTCAATAGGGACTCTGATCTCCAGAGGTCACCTGCGCCAGGATTTTGCCAATTTCTCCCGGCTGCAGTGCGACGCACAGCTGCCAAAGCCAGGGGCGCGTTGCACGGTGCCGCCGGGAGCCCCATCGGCCTCGTGCCGGTGCAACACGAGTTTGCAGCATCATGCAGAAAATGAGTCAGAGCCGGCTTTGGCGTGGGGCAAGGCAAGTTCCTCCGAGGTTCAGCCCCGGCTCTGTCATTAAGCCGCCCCCCGGACTGAGCACGGCCAAGACCTCGGCTTTTTAACCTCCTCTCCGGGAAGGTGGCACAAGCGCCGGTATCTGCTGCGGCTCAAATCACCTGATGGCCATGCCAGGCCCGAGTGACAAAACCTGCTAGCAGCACGAGGCCTGGATCGGGAGAACAGGAATAACGAACTTGGAGGGGGAATTCAATGCATTTTATTTTTTTTGCTTAGCGTCTAACCCTCTGGTGTAATCTCAGCAGCTCCGGACATGTTCGGAGCCAGTTCCTCCCCACCTGAATGCGCCTCCAGCAACATCGTTTCACGGGCAGCTTCGCTCCCCGACTCCGAAGGACGACGAGCTGCAGGGGCAGGAAAAGCTGGGGCAGAGCTTGGCCTAAACCCACCTGCTTCACCCAAAGGACACGGCTGCAGAAGGACCTGCTGCAGCCCCCCGAGGGCTCGGTCATTCCCCATTCCGCCCCGGTTCATCGCAGCACGGCTCTGCCCTGGGACACAGCGGGGCAGCCGGATCTGCTGGCCACCCAAGGAAAGACATTTTTGCGGTCTCTTTTCAGTATCTGATGATTTCCCCAGCGAGGTCAGGTAGTTTTACAGCAGCCAGCCAGCAAACTGCAACAAAAAAGTGCAACAGGGAACACAGCTCATTGTGCAAGCAGACCTAGCAAAGTTTGGGCTCCTCCAGATGCATCCTACATCCCTCAAGCCTTGCTCCCCCTGCAGCAGCTCCAGCCATCCCAGAGCTTCCTGCGACACCTTGCACGTCCCCTCGCCGGGGACCTGGGGGGCTGCTTCGGCGTGGGGCACGCTGGCCGGCATCAAGGGGCACAAACCTCTGCAAAGCAGGCAATTCGGCAAAACGTAAAGAAACCCGGCACGTTTCTGGCTTCTCCTCTCTGGGTTGACGCTTCAAAAAGTTCCTGCTGGAGGAGACGAGGATCGCACGAGACTCATTTCCCCAGGAAACCAGGCTGGAAGGAGCGGGAAAACGAACCACATTCAAAGGGTGCCAGCAGCACGACTCCTCTCCCTTGCAAACTCGGCATATGGACGAGCTGTTTGCCAAGCGCGGGCGAGTTTCCAGATCTGTCACTTGGGAAACAAGAAGCCTCGAACATTTAATACCCTGGCTCGGCCGAAACGTAGGTGCAAAGCGGTGTTTACGGTTTGTGGCCGTCGCTGGCTCTCTCCCCTTTACCCATCGCTCCACCCTGACTTGGGACAAGGCTCATCCACAGCCACCATCTCTCCAGGGTTTGCTTTGGGGTTTTAAAGCTAAAATTCTTGGTCTTTCTTAAGATGTAGGAACCTTCAGCACAAGTTGCTACCCAGTAAACACATACCATCACACCGATAAAAATAACTTCATCTCTCTTTGTAAAGCGCTCGACAGCGAGCTCGGCACGCCTTGGCCCAGACATCACTTTCGCTTCCACAAATCCTTCACAGGACTTTCCTACCTGTTATAAAACTAAAACAGATATTATGGATGGCAGTGTTTTATATCTGAAAAAATAATTTAAAATCAAGACAGCTCTTGAGAGGCAAGCGCCTCACCAACACTGCTTGTGTTATGGGGAAATGTAAAGCTGTAGCTAGAAGACATCAGACCAGGATGCCCGGAGTCAGACCGTGCACCTTGAGTGACTGCTGTCACCGTGGTCAAGAAGCCCGGCAGGCAGAGGGATGCTCGACCACATCCGAAGGGACGATGCAGAAAAGATGCAAAGCCTCCCAACTCGGACCCGTCCGTGGGACCGCGGCACACCCGGCAGCACCGCCCTCGCAGCGATGTGCCACGACAGCATCGAAAGTGATTCTCCGGCAGCCACGCTGCTCTTATCGCAGCGGGGAAACAAGCTCTACCAGAAAAAGCACCTTTGCCAGTGCTGCTGAAGGTGCAATTCCAGAGGTAAAAGGCCAAGGCTTCTTCACAGCCTGGCAAAGGCAGGGCAGGGACGTGGGCTAAGAAGCGAAAGACCAGGGTTGGCCGCGTCGGGCAACCTTGAATAAAAAGCAGCTTTCATTTCCAGAAGTCGCCTGCAAGCGCACACGCTCCAATAAGCGAATCCGTGCAGAAACGCAGATATAAACAGATTTACATATAAACCCTCACTGCTGTTTCTCAAGATAATGCTGATGCCGCTGTTAAAAAAAATAAAACCCCACGCCGTGGGCAGCGCTGGCGTCGCGTGAAAGCTTTGCTCTTCCTCCACCAGCCACCCACGCGCAACGGCCCGGAGTTAACAGCGAGGAGCTGGCATTTAAGAAGCTGCTGTTTCCAGTGCTCCCTTCCCGGCAGCCAGCCTAGATTCTTAACTGATTATTCAATTAGCAGTTTTCTAATTAAAATTTTTTCACTTGACTAGTGGAACCAGTTCAGCCAAACATTTCTGTTTGCACAGAGACGCAAGCCTGCCCGGCTCTCTCCACCATCAGCCCGGCTCCGAGCAGGCACTGGGCTCAGGCTCGCACCTAAAGCAA